AAAAAAAAAACAGGGAGGAGCACATGGCAAATCATGTGAGCATACAGTGATCAAAAATGGAGTGCACAAATCAAGTGACTGTTAACCTGTAAAATCACTAGACCAGGTTGGAAGTTGGAATCCTGAAGCTTCATCTGCTCTACATCCCTCTTCAACTTCTCCCTCACCTGCCTGAAGAGAAAACACACAAACACAGAGAGAGAGAGAGAGAGAGAGAGAGAGAGAGAGAGAGAGAGAGAGAGAGAGAGAGAGAGAGAGAGAGAGAGGTGTAACAAAAAAAAAACAGTTGAATTGGAAAATCGTTTTAAGATTCAAAAGACGTGACCGAATACAATCGTTTGGCTTTGAAATCGATCAAGATACATATCGAATCAGCTAAAATGGCACATTTACATTTCTGTCAACTTCATTCACTTGTATGGAAAATGACAACACAAAATGACGTCATACCCTCTCAAACTGAGCCGAACCATATCGAATCGTAATCCCAGAGTCGTTCCACTATCAACTTGTGTGTACACGCGCGCGCACACACACAAACGCACACACACACACACACACACACACACGCGCGCACGCACGCGCACACACACACACACACACACACACACACACACACACACACACACACACACACGCTTATCTTCACGCCAATAACGTAACTGCGTAACTCACGCGCACACACGCACGCACGCAAGTCTACGCACGCACAAACACACACTTATCGTCACGCTAATAACGTAACTGCACTCATCTTTTGTCTTTGAGATCGGCATTTTTGCAACATCTGAATTGAACTATCGAGAGTAATTTCCTGCAAAAATCTGATGTTAGCAAATAAAACCTATGCACACATTCACGCATGTAGCCTATAACACAAAACGGAATTACTTTATTTTCCCTCGTGGTCACTCAAATGAACACAATTCCACGCCCACGAGGCTGGCTCAGGACTGAATTGGAGAAGCAACTGAAAGTTCCCCTTGAATGGACGGACGCACGCGCGCGCGCAAGCACGCACGCTTTGTCACTCGGCGTCTGACTCGTTTGGCGTCACACGAAGGGAGGATTTCACAGACTTGTCTTCTGGTCTCCCCCACGCTGCTGCTGCAGAGCAAAGAACTCAGTCACGATGCGACACGTTGCGTGACATTTGGCGTGTTTTTCTCTATCTAACACGAGATGTCAAAGAAGAAGAGCATGGACGTGTGTCTGCGTAGATTGAAGCAGGAGCTGGTATGTGTTGCCCTTTTCTTTTTTCACCCGACCCGTGTGCGTGTACAAGTTATGCATTAAGGACAATAATAATTCCGAATGTGATTGCTTTGATTCGTGTTTTAGTCAGGCACTGCCATGATGCACGTACTGGTATGACTTCCAAACTAAATAGAAGTCCACGCTTGTTTCCTTGCCATTGTTATTTAAAAATACTGCTAAAAAAAATAAAGGAAACACTGAAACAACACAATGTAACTCCCAAGTGTTCCCTTTTTTTTTTTAGCATTTTATTTCCAAACGAATATATTGATATTACTACAGTGTTGTGTTATTGCATTTTGTTTGAATGTTTACAAAAACATTCACACATATTTATTCATATTTTATTTTTTCTTGTACTGTATTTTTACACTTGTATAATAGTTTTTTTTAAATAAAAAATAAATAGAGACACTTTGTGAATGACCATTAATATCCTATGTTGTATACTATGAAATAATACAGTGCATAGTATTTATACAATATAATGATGCCTTATATAATACACATTTATATGAATGTAATAATTTAAATTATTATTTTTATTTTAAGCTTTTGTATTTCGTTTATGATATTCATTTTTTTCATCAATTGGCATGGTGAACATGTTGATTTATTGCATTAGCTTTATATGCTGATCCATAACTGCCAGTTCAGGGTGTACTCTGCCTTCTCCCCGAATACAGCTGGGATCGGCTCCAGCACTCCCGCGACCCTCATGAGGATAAGTGGCTGGGATAACTTTTCAATTTGTTTCTCTATAAAATAAATGTAGATCACATAATGAACCATCCATCCATTTTCCAGCCCGCTTATCCTCACAAGGGTCACAGGCGTGCCTATCCCAGCTGTCTTCGGGCAATAGGCAGGGTACGCCCTGAACTGGTTGCCAGCCAATCGCAGGGCACACATAGACGAACAACCATTCGCACTCGCAGTCACACTCCAGGGACAATTTAGAGTGTTCCATCAATTTGCCATGCATGTTTTAGGAATGTGGGAGGAAACCGGAGTACCCGGAGAAAACCCACGCAGATACGAGTCGGAATCTAATCCTGCACCTCCGCACTGTGAGGCGGACGTGCTAACCAACATTTTTCAAGTTTTTATTTTTGAATATCACATCATCTAGTTATTTAGTTGTTATTTGTGGTGTTCTATTTTAAACCAGAAAACATAATGTCACTATTCCGGCAGCAGGGAGCAAACTGAGCGTACGCGTCATCACGGACAGTAAAAAACATGCTAACTCATCATTTTTCTTCTTCACTCACTCGCAACAATTCTCTTGCCAAATCTTATTTTAACTCCACTCTCCTCTTGACTACACGAGTAGACACTTGAAGGGGTCAGCTGCACCCGCACCCGCGCAGCTTCTAAGTTCAAGGGTCAAAAGTGGGTGACCTGACACCACCCCTCACAGATTGACACAAAAGGCCCTTACAACCTCCTATCACACATCAAGTGTTCACACTTTCATAACATGTTGGCGTTCAGGCCGCCTCGTGATGTCACATTGTCACAGTATATCCACTTCACCCTTGCATCAATGTCTTTGTTGGAGCAAGAACCCTATTAAGTTTGAATTGATTTTTTTTTACATTATATGTGACACCAGATGGTTGAAATATACCTCCATTCATTTTCGACATGGCGAGTCCTCATTAGGGTCAAAACAATTGAGACAACCCGGGCTGACATTTGATGTGATAAGCGGGATCCACCCTGAACTGGTCACCAGTCAATCACAGTGCACCAATGACCAACGTTAAATTGATCATCTGGCAGAGATGGTCCATTTTTGACGAATGAGCTGAATCTTTTTTTTTAATCAGGAAAATGATTTTAACTTGCATTTTCAATTAGATCAATTTGATTTGGAGAAATCAGTATGTAAAACTAACTACTTTAAAATAACCGTACCCTGTAAATAAGCGATATGACTACGCCCCGACCGCCATTCCCTCCATGTCTTGGTGGGAGCTACAGGATGGACCGGAGACTATACGTCCATTCACAATCAGTGAAAATACATTGTTAATATTGTCAAAATAACAGGGATCAATAGCCCCCAAAATGTATGTAGATATCTCTACCCACATCAACCTCTGAAAATATAAGAAAACATTTCGCCTTTACATGGCTGACTTAAAAGAGCAAGCTTATGAGCAGCCAATGTGCAGCTTAGTTGCAGATTCTGTCACGTCTGTCTGTTTTCTTTCAGAAATCTCCCAAGATACTCAAACACAATGGGTTCTGAGAAGCTTTTCATGAGCTGAATTGTTCATCGGTCCATCCATCCATCCATCCATCCATCCATCCATCCATCCATCCATCCATTTTCCGATCCGATTTTAGTGTTCACGTCATTTTTAAAGATTAAAGACAGAACTACTTTTTGTACCAGTAGTGTTGTTAGATTGAGTTGATGTTGCTAGTGGGGACAGCTTTGGGTGAAGAAACAGGAAGTGACATGTATTCTCCGATGTTACGAGACCGAGTTACGTATTTGTCCATTCTGTATGGTCAGTGAGAACGGAACAGAGTGAAACACTTTTGAAGTACCAATGTTCAGCCCACTCAAAAATCACTTTCATATTTAAGCCACTGTGACATTATGCACAGTTTGCATGTGGTACTTAATTATCGGGAAATAAAATACCATACTTAATGATTTGTGAAAATGTATTGCACATAAATGTAAAAATTAAATAAAATCTTAATACATTTTAAATAAATACAAATTGTACTTGGGAAGGCTTTTGTTTTTGTTTTGTTTTTTTTTTACCCGTAGAAAAATCCCTGCCTTAAGGCATCAAAAGAAGTACAGGTAGAATGAATAACATTGGCATTTCTCAGTAAGGGATTACAGTCAGTGTGGTAATGTATTTTCAAAATAATTTAGCGGACAGCTGGAAAGCTACACACTGTATTTTATCATTCTTGTGCCTATCTTCAAGATGTCTAAAAATATGCGTATGCTTCGAGAACGTTTGTGACTTGATTTGTAATCATAATCACCATAGATAGATTTTTCTGAAGACATTCACGTGATTTTTGCCACAGTGACCCCTACAGGACTGGAGTGGAACGGCAAATGACCTGAACATGAGGTCTTCAAGAGTTAGCTTTGATGTGATATAAGAGGCGATGTGGTCAGTGTGCTTTATCCGGGGGTTGATATAAAAGTCATCATGACCCCCTCAGGCAGACAGCCGGACGTACTGTACTGAATTAGTCTTGGTGTAAAAGTGTTCTTCACACCTGTTCCACGGCATACCAATCATCACATCCTATTCAACGACATTACTGTAAGTTCGTTTTTTTTTTTTTTGTTTGTTTTTCATCCAGTTTATGGCCAAGGACATGAGCAAAAAAGGACTTTGGACGTTTGAAACAAAAGCTAGAATGTGTAAACTTGTGAAATGAAGTGTGATAAAACGAAAGCACAGCGATTGGCTGGCAACCAGTTCAGAGTGTCCCACGCCTACTGCCCGAAGACAGCTGGGATAAGTTCCAGCACGCCCCGCGACCCTTGTGACGATAGGTGGATCAGAAAATGGATGGATGGTTAAAACGAAATTGTAGCAGTTGCTTGTGTAATTTACCCTCAAACTTTTTTTTTTGAAGGAAATGGCCAAATTGACATTAAAATGGCTGTTTTGACCCAAACGGTCTTTCCTGTGTATTTTCAGGTGTAGGTTTTTGAGACTTCGCTTAACTTGCGTCTACTCAAGACACATGTTTATCAAATTTAATGAAACTGGTGTTGGGGTCAGACTTTTGGACAAATTCAGGTTTGAGGCATCTCTGGAAATGATCCTAAAATGGTTGCTTCAAACCAGAACGGCAGACTTCTTCTGTCTTTTCTGGCATAGGATTTTGGTACTTTCTGTACGGCTACTCATGATAGACATATCTGCCAAATTTCATGGGGCTAAATGGAACTGACTTTGAACAGCTGAATTTTCAAAAGGATCTGTAGGACAAGTTTGTATTTGAATAACCTCTGAAAATGATTCCAAAACAGTTGCTACAAACCAAAATGACAGACTTCCTCTGTTTTTTCAGGCATACGGTTTTGAGATGCTTTGGTGGGTCTACTCACAACAAATATGTCTACCAAATTTCACATAGCGAAGTGAAACTGTCTGCTGTTGCTCAGTATTTCTCAGGTTCAAAACACGGACATATAGAAAGTTGTGTTCATGTTTATCTGGTTGGACGTCACCAGGAGGCCTGAAACAAGCTTCACTTGTTCAAGACACGACTGTTGCTGCTTCACACTTTTATTTGCCTGTTGATGTTGACCTTCCCCCATATAGAGAGACCCTCTGTGTATGTGCTCCACAGAAGCCTACAATCCTGTGTCCTTGACACACGTACACACACACACACACACACACACACACACACACACACACACACACACACACACACATAGCGGCATTCATTTTTAATGAGCCGGCCGAAGGAGCAGGAAGGAGTCTGATAACCTCAGTGTTATAAAGCCCCCCCAACCCACCAAACAAACAAGCGTTTCATGTGAGAGCCACACAGGAGGTGGCTGTGTGTGATATATATATATATAGAGAGAGAGAGAGAGAGAGAGAGAGAGAGAGAGAGAGAGAGAGCAAAAAAAACAAAAGAAAAATCTGGAGAAAAACATACTAGAACAGCTGAACTTTATTCGGGAGAGAGATGTGCGTTGCCTTGCATTGTACATGTCTGAATGTGAGTGGCAGCACGGTGGTTGACTGGTTAGCACGTCCACCTCACAGTTCCGCGGTGCAGAGTTCATATCCGGCTCCAGCCTCCTTGTGCGGAGTTTGCATGTTCTCCCCATGCCTGTGTGGGTTTTCTCCGGGTACTCCGGTTTCACATTAGAAAAACATACATTGTAGGTTGATTGAACACTCTAAATTGGTCATAAGTGTGGCTGTGAGTGTGAATGGTTGTTCGTCTGTGTGTGTCCTGCGATTGGCTGTCAGCCAGTTCAGGCTGTACCCTTTCCGACTGCCCGATGACATCTGGGATAGGCTCCAGCACGGCCCGCGACCTTCATGAAGATAAGCGGCTTGAATAATGGATGGATGGATGAATATGGGTGGTGAATTTTGAGCCCAGCCAAAAGAGGAAGCGCAACCACAATATCACAGCAGTTTAATTTTACTTCTGCTCTCAAAACGATTTCTTCATTTTAATTTCGTTTTTCAGCTTGTTGATCACATTTATGGTCAATATGCTTTTCCATCCATTCATCCATCTATCCATCCATCCATTTACGAATCCGCTTTTCCTAACAAGTGTTGCGGGCATGCTGAAGCCAACAAACGTGCAAACTCCTCACAAGAAGGCCGTAGCAAGAATCGAACCCTGCACCTCTGCACTGTGAGGCGTATATTCAATAAGCTTCTGAAATGTTTAATCTGACATTTGAACAGAGGTGTGTAATCTTTTTATAGTCACTCTGTCATATATGCTAGTATAATATGAATTAATCTTCATGCATAAGTTGGGCTCTGAAATCATCAGTCACCATTTGAAGCATTCAAACATGATAAACTTTATTGAAATGCTGCCAAGTCTCCACGCAAGCATTTTTAAAAAATCTCATCTGAACATCACTGGAGTGGACTGATGATGCAAGAAGTGCACCAGGGCAGTAAATGGCTTCCCCACGGCCTCGGTTTCATCATTGCCTTTAAATCGGACTGGACGGATGTTTCTTGACAAGCTTCTCGGGCTGTTGCTTCCTTTTAAAAGAAGCGAAAACATCTGCACTTCACCTACAAGTCTTTTTAAACCAAATAAATGCCAGGCGGTTAAAGGTTGAAGAGGCTGACATATTTGGGCCACTCGTTACAGCCGCGAGTCAGCTAACATGTGCAATAATGGGGTTTGACTTTGTGGCGAATTATGAATTATTAATGTCGACTGTGAAAAACAAAAAAAGGTCTGTGTGTTGGCCTTCGACCAAGATCTTTTATGACTCATTCGTGCCTCCTTTTATGAACTGAATATACTCAGCCAAAGGTTACAAATGAATGGTGCACCGTATTGGCCACACATCAGCATAATTATATATAAAACCAATATATATCAACTTATATACAAACAAAAAAAAATATACAGTTTTGTTTCCCAGTATTTGGAGATAAATGTGTCATTAGGCAAATATGTTAATGTCACTGTCGATTTGTGTTTGTGTTAAAAAAATAGTGCATTTTTTAAAATTTAGTTGATTAAATCATATATTTTAAAGGAATTGGTGAATTCTGTTGGATTGTAATCATCCTTGAATGTAATTTTATTACCTTTTTAAAATACTGAATTTATTTAAACTTAATAATTTTACACACATGAGTGTTGAAATAGTATCCATATTCTTGTTGAGTGACAAGTTATGTACCATAATTATATTTCAAGAAGAAAAGTCTTCTTTTATCAGCAAGTATTTTACATAAAAATCTGCTTCATAATTACAAATTAAATTGAAATCCTTTTAAATATGTTTTTGGGGGAAGATAAGAATTTTATATGCATTTTAAAGTCTTTTTTTCAATGCATTATTATTATTATTATTATTATTATTATTATTATGATATTATTATTATTATTATTATTATTATTATTATTATTATTATTA